CTGCCTTCTTTAGCTTCTGCTTCAAGCATCATGCGGATGCTTTCAATTTCGCTTGGATCGTATGTTTTATATTCTGCTGCCATTTTTTCTTTATGCTTTGTGTTTAAGGACTACTTGAATGAATCGAACGTGATTAGTAAGTGAGGAGAGGTTTTGCAAAGTGATCTGTCCCTGATGCTCATACTTTAGCTCGTTACTTTTTGCATTGCTTAGATCATAGAAACCAAAGTCAGAACGAATATTGACGTCATCAGGGTCATGCTCTAAAAAGTAAAACTCATTGTAATGCTTCTATTTCCCTTATCTCTCCGCTTTGCATTACACAGTGCTTAAAGTTCATGTAGTAATCATCCTGTTTGTGTCCCATGTCGCGCATCCTGCTTTCGATAAGCGCGAGTGCTAAATCTGTATTCATAGTTTTACCTCCAGTTCTTTCTTCTGTTCAAAATCATAAACTACTCCCTGAGACTTTTCGCTTGTTTCAATCCACACAAATACTTTCACTTTGTAATTCATGTGCTTGTTTAACCGGACACCGATTGCATCCGAGAACATTCCGTTGATGAGAGTATTGGTGCAAATCACATTTACACGTTTCGGCTTCGTATTCACATTTGTGCTGTAGGGACTTTTAGGAAACAACCCGTAGCTGAGATCAGGCATTGAACCATTATGGAAAATGAAAGAAACCCAAGCTTCGAAAAAAATATTGCTGCGATCCATGTTTTGCAATTTGAGTTTGCCAACTGTCGGATTCGTTTTCGTGTTCCATTTTAAAAAGGGTGTCTTACTTACTTCATTCATGTCCAATTAGTTCCATCAGGTCGCACACCACCGGCTCCGCCACTTCCTCCACTTAGTGGAGTTTCAGTTGGAGATTCTAAAGCTGAGATCATAAGAACATCAGTATCCACTCCAATGATGCGCACTGCATTTTTTGGAAGTCTTACCTGAAAGAAGTTCACGTCTCCTTGCTTTGTGATTTCTATTTCCTTAACTATTAACCTGGCTCTGCTCATTAGTCTTCTCGTTCTCCTTCCACACTTAGCGTTACCGTATAAGGTTGAAAGGTTGTTAGTCCGTCATTTT